GTGCATTTGATCAGGCAGTAATATTGTTAGGAGAAATTAGATGCCACTGTTGGGACTTGAAGGGTTATTCACTAAGGTGTGCAGACATGTACATCTATCATGGAATAGTTAGCTGCTAACAAAGCCAATTATATTTAAGCATTTGTGAAAGAATGCTGGTAAAAATTAATCATCATTATTAATAGTAACTCTTCCATTAAAAAATCTCTCTCTCTTACAGCTTTAATTCCAGCTTCAAGAACTTCGGCTGGTAAGTATTCTTGATATTCCTTTGTGGATGCTTCACTCACTACAATAAGTATAAAGTTAAAATGGAATTTTTTAAAAATTATTTCAAAAAATCAACTAACAACAACAACAAACATCTCAATGTTTCTTTAAAACATATCATTTTCTTTTGTTTTTCAACTGAAATTCTTGACAAGGGAAATTTAGTTGTCAACACTAATAACCAAAGTGCAGAACCCATTTCATCATAAGAGTTGACACAGAAAATTTCTCCACTCCCAAGATTTTGTTCCCAGCCACCTTCCTCCCTTGGTGTTGTAATACAATTTTGTTCACTCCAACCTTCACTTGATCTTATCAATCTGAAACTAATATCATGGCTTCAAAATTCATTTGCCTCAGCCTGAAATCATTCCAGTTGTGCAAGCTACTCCCAAAAATAAGGAGAGGGTGCTTGAGGCTGATCAATATAATTTTCATCAAATTTAGGGTACACTCAGTCTTACCTGATTCATTTGCTTCATTATTTACAGCAGCCAGAGAATAATACAACTCCAGAATTGATTGACAAGTGGGATAGAAATCAGTAAGGTAGTCCTCAGTTCTCATGATAAACACTCCTGCAGACTTGTTTCCATACTTTTCCACAATCTGCCAACATACAATATAGGAAAATGTTCCCAAAAAACATACACACTTTAAACTACCTGTATTTATTAAATAAATAAAGATTTTATCCAATCTGTTTACCTAGATTATAGATTCAATCTGTTGGCTTTAAAAGAGTGCCTAGCATCTAGTTTCTCCATACAATATCACCCCTGAATCAAACATTAAAGTACAAGTTAGGATAAAGGAAAATAATGATCAACAACAAAAGAATCTCTTGATTGTGTAACAAATTCACCTTGTCAGCACCTTGGGTAATGTACAGAGAACAGTATGGAGAATATGGATCCTGGTGATAGGGTATGAAGGGTTCGTCATAAAAGTCACTCAGGGGGAAGCCCCAATCATATTTCATAGTGTTGTTACATTTTTCTTTCATATCACTGACCATGTTTGCACCTTAAGGTACAAATTTCAGAGGTGATTAAGCCTAATTACAGTATCTAACAAAGATGCCACTCCTAAATCAACTTCTATATTGTATATTGAGGATTTTAAATCAATATACAGATAAAACTTAAAAGTTGCTGAGAAAACAAAATGTTGGTGTTGTACTACATTATGCACAAAGGAGATGGAGCTGTACATGTATGGTGTATATGTTACCTGCTGGTCTTCTGTTAAGATCACAAGGGGCATAGCTTGGTTTAAATGATTATAATACCAAACAGCACCAGTGTAAATGCACCTTCAAAGAAAAAGGAACCTCTCTTGAGTGTGGAGATGAAAAAAAATAACAAAACAGTAGTCAAAGCTTTCTAGAAAACTTTACACATCAAATGAATATGAAAAAATATCTAAAAAACAATGTTGTGGTTTGAATTGTTTTGTTCTGCATTTTTTTTTTGTATAAGTTGTAAACTTATACAAGTAAACTTGTATAAGTTCTGACTGCAAAAATTATTGCTGTGCCTTCAAAGCTTATGAAGTCACTCTGCTGTCAAAACTGACAAGTTTTTTTTGGACAAAATTTCTAATAATTGACCATACTTCTCATCTTAAGTGAAAAAAAAAAATTAAATGGTCACAAATTTTAAATCAGTCTATGTCCTCAACATAGCTTCACCTCCACTGCCACTCTTCCAAAGACTCCCTGGGTTCCCTGGCAACATAAGCCCCATCACAGAACTCATTACTGAATATGATGCTCTGCTGCCTGTTATCCTTCACAATATCTTTTAGTTGAGATTGAAGTTTTCTCCCTCCTTGATGCTGGACCTATGAAAACATTTACAGAAGTGCTTCATGTGCAAGTGCATTCATTGACTTATATGCTAAAGGAATATCCACTCATAACTAAAAGTAAATGTGTTCTTGGCCTTTTTAGCTCAGTGCAATAGAGTTAGAAAACTGAAAGTGAAATTTACTCATGATAAGACAATAAAATAGGTTGACAAGAAAGCATATTATCAAACGTTGTACTTGCTTATTCTTATGTGTGATGTTTTATTACACCTTTACGCATTGATTCTGAAAATGAAACATTTATAACATAGCACATGTGCTTGCCATATATAAGTCCTATTAAGCTGCATTGAACAAATCTTTATTTACGCATACCTGTGTGTAAATAAGATGACATGAGCATTTTTTTAAACTGGCTTCAGAGTTGCTGTCTTGTTAAGCTGCAGTGCAGTTTCCCTTCTCTTTGCAATATGGAAGAAACCAGCAAAGAACTGCCCAATTTTTCTATTGGCATTGACCTTTTAGGTCCTGATCCAACAAGCAACAAAAATAAAGCAGGAAAAAAACTTGCAAGTTGCATGTTTTGCAAATTTGTGGGAAGACCAGCTGCAGCAAATTTTGGCCGTAAACTAGATCAAATGTTCTTGCTCAAACCAAAGTATAAAATGTGGTGTATTTTTGACCAGCCAATAGGTACGTTAGTTTACTTTTTTTGTGCGTTGTGAGAATTTTGCACTCTATCACAATAAAAGACTTCTTCATGCAGATCCTTGTTTTTGCTCTGTTATAAAAGAATTTGTCCATGCTTTTAGCTGTGCGTATATTGAGTTATGGATGTACTTGGGAAGTTTAGAGAGCACTCAAAAAGCTAGAGTTGCTCTCAGCTGTGCCTCGAGCTACTCTTATGCATTTTTGGTGCTCTCCAAACTCCATTGCATCTCATGCATCTGTAACTCAATATATGCGTGCTAAGCATGAAAAAATTCTTAAATATCTGCTATAAAATATCCAACTACATTCTGCAAAATGCACAAAAAAGGTGTTAGGTTCTTACATGATTAACCACTGTTTCAAAGAAAATTACTCCTTGAATTTCTTCACTCTCAAATATTTCAAGAAACAGCCTTGAAACCTGAAATTAAACACCAAAGAATCAGCTCAAGGAAATTAACCCTATCATTTGGTTTAATTATTTGTCTTAATTGTGTGTTGTTCTTGTCATGACACAACTAATTATTTTTTATTTGTTTTTAATTCAAAACTTGAATGTCTTCTCTGTCCAACCATCACATCAGTGCCTGTAATTACCTATTAGTAAATACTTGCAAACTAAAATCCCTGAAGATGTAAGGATATCAATTTGAACTTCAAATCAAACCTCGTCAAATGCTCAGTACCTTTCTGCGGAGCATGGCCATTTGCAAAGAATTTGTGATTTTTTTCTTTCTTACCATCCATACCATCACACCGTAAAATCGCCTTTGATGGATGGTCCTCAGGACAAATTTTAGCCTCAAGAAAAACATCGGTTCGGAAAGTTCATGTGATGTGTCAGGGCATAATACCAAGACCACCACCAGCAATTTTCGAGTCGATGTCCAAAACAAGCTGGCTACAAGTTTGAAAGGTGTAACTCCATACTACAGTCGACTACAAACTGTTACAAAGCCTTGCTTTCAAATGCAATCTATTGCTTTCGCCATTTTTTTTTTGTCAAAGAACTGTTCGCACAATAAAGTATGGTGTTAAACGGAAATATTGCTGAAAGTTTTACTCTGCACAAGTCTAACAACGCTTAGGCCAAGATCGGTCAAAGTACGGTAAACAAACTCAACTTACCTGGCAATCAGGAACAACGTAATGAGTCAGTGATTTACAAAGCAAAGTTCCGTTACCTAAATAACGAATTAAATTAAAGTGTGTGATACTGAACTATATTATGCTGTAACTAAGATAACAACTTCAAAAGATTGACTGTAGCTTACTCTGCTTGCAAACGCTTACTTACCTTGTTCGCAAACTGCACAAACTTCACTGTGGCAAGAAACATCTTTCCGCAAATAGTGTTCCCGCACAACATCAAGAAGTCGGCCTGTTTTCGTTTTTAACCTTAGCAGCTTATTAGTTTTGATCATATTTCGGCGTTCATGGATATGAAACAACGGCCATTTTTAAAGTGAAACTACAACTTAAACCCGGCGCCATTTTGTTGATTACATATCCCAACAGCACTTGCTAGTTAAACTTTTGATTGGTATCCAGTTACCTCGATACCTCGGTCGCAAACAAATACTTAATGCGCATTGGTCAGTTGAATTGTGCTTACATCTTCCATTTCCTTGCTTTAATATAAGTTGGCATTTTGTTGGAACCGACAGGTTCCGATGAAAATACGTTTGAAAAGTTGTTGCTTGTAATAAGGTAGTTGAGATCCATCAAAAGGCTCTTAACAAGTGGATAAATCGTCTGAGGCATGGGCAGCCCTCCATTACCGTAGACCTCACTTGATACTTTGTCTGTGAAGCAGCGTTTGGTCTACTGTGCTGTGCACTTGTGCTTCAATGTCAAATTTTATCTAATTCATATTTTGGTATACCTGGTAGTTAAAACGTACTTTTAAACCTATTATTTCGTTATTGTGTTTTTTTTTCAGTTACCACTTCTGGTAATTTTCGAGCTTGTCGTCAAAGTAAGCAGACCAGAGGTTAGAAAGATATAACTATTTTTTACTTATTAAATATCAATCAAGGGTCGTCATTTCGACACAAAGCTAACGAAAATTATTGCCGTTATTATAAATGCGCTCGCGCTGGTCGCT